GTCCGGGAATGGGCCAGTCAGTATTCTATGCCCTTGCTCCGTTATAAATTTCTAGTGCTGCGAGCCGGGTCCCGCTGTGGCAAGAGCACTCTTGCGAAGTCGTTGCATCAAGAGCTGGCCTGGCTCAAGCCACCTTACATACAGACTGTGCAAGATGATGTATCGGCCGATCTTCGCGGCTTCAATCGTCGCAAACACGGATTCTTGGTCTTCGACAACATCAACAATATGTCTTTCATACTCTCCCAACGTGCCCTTTTTCAATCGAACGGCGACGTGCACACCCTTGGACAGAGCAAAACTGGAGTGTATAGCTACGATGTCTATCTTTACAGAATTCCAATTGTCTTCACCGTTGATCACACTGCTACATGGGATAGCTTGGAGCCCTGGATGGCAGAAAACATGGTCTTGATCGAGCTGAGCGAGCCTTGCTTTGTGGAGGTGTGATGTTGGACAGCTGCAAGAGGGGCGGCGGTGGATAAGTTTGCGCAGTCCATTTCTTCTTGTGCCCAGGAATGGTCTTGTGTGTAGGAGCCCTTGCACTTTCCAGCTCCCCGGCTAGCCTTCTGCGGGCCAGAAAAGTGAGCCGCGAATATGCGCAAAACCAACCCTCAATAGCACAGGCCCCCTTTGTGAAACCTTTCTTGCCGCGCTATTATGTTGCTCACATGTACCTGGAGAGGCTTGCCGCCCTGGTGCGGGAAATGTTGTCGCCCGACTCTTCGGCCGAGAGAGAGTAGCGTTTGTGTCTGTGTGTGTGTGCGTGTGCATCTTTTGCATCCGTGCGCTTCTGCAGAACCCAGTCTGTAACCGCCCTTAAGAGCTTCCATGTGTCAGCGAAGCACGTGCTCGCACGCTTTTGAGCACCGATGAGCTTGAAAGTTGCTTTGACCTTTACTGCCCGCAAGTTGTTGTTCTGCGTGTGGCATAGCCTACGGCCCTGAGGATGTGCAGTAGCGCAACCCCTGCCTTTTGCGACCAAGGGTCGCCGCCCGCTAGAGCTTGTCATGGACCAGCCTGACTTTGATGCGGCAGCAGCTCGGCTGGCAGTGCAGACGCTGCAAGCTCAGCTCACTGCGAACAGAAACGCTGCGAAGGCACTTTACCGGCAACAAAGCAGAAGGCACGAGCGTGCTGGACGTGGTGGCCTTGGACCTGCTGGGCAGAAAACCACCCTTGCCGTGTACCTGTTGTCGGGACACAACATAGAGTTGGCCACAGTCATGGCACAACGCCTCTCCTCCTTCAAACATGCTCAGACGCCGGGATATCCAAGTGCTGCCACAGTCGAGAGCCTTTTTTTGGCGGCCCCAATGAGCGAAATTTGCCAAGCTCATGCTTCTGAGACTCCAGCATGGGTCACAGCCACGCAGCAAGCACAAGCGTTTCTAGCAGAAAACTCTACAGTGCAGTGGGTGGAGACAATGAATGTCGGTCACGGTGTGACACCGTCTTCCGTGGATGTCTTCCTGCAGTGCGAGGGAGCCTTGCTTGGTCATCAGCCAGATCTGGGAGCGCCTTCCAAGAGAACTGTGAACAAATGGGCTGCCAGGTGGCGCCTGCGCTGGGGCGTGCGCCGAAAGACTTTACAGCCAGAAGGCTACATCGAGCCGGAAGAGCTGCGAACCAAGGCGCGAAAAGCAAGGGCCCTTTTTTGGGCACGAAAATGGCCCCGGAAACCTGCCCAGCTAATGGCCTTTGTTACGAAGCTGACCCCAAAAGCGGTCAGGTTTTAGGGCCTTCTTTCCGGGAGGTGCGCTTGGGTTTGTTCTGGGAGAATCCAGCCTTGATTTCTGCTGCAGGTCCGTGCTTTCTGGCACACACTAGCCCACGTTTCGGCCAAGTACAGCCACAAGCAGATTGTGTTCCTTAATCTGGACGAAACCTCGGTAGGGTTCAACATGACTCCGCTTGCTGGCTGTGTTGCAGCAGCGTGCGTGCAGCGCGGCCTGCGGCTGCGTGCGAAAGTGAAGAAGGAGAACTTGCGCGGCGCGATGTCCTACGTGGCATTGATTTGTGACTCAGCCGAGCTGCAAGGCAAGCTGCCACACTACTTGATTGGAAGCACCGTGAGGCTGACCAAGACAATCATGAAGGGCATTGCTGCACTGCCGGCGACGCAGCTTCGCATCCTTCGCCGGAAATCAGCTTGGAACACTTCAGAAGTCATGGTTGCCATTATCAAGGACGTCTCTAAAACGCTGCAGCCTGTGCTTGACGCAGGCAATGTGCAGCCAGTGCTGCTCTTGGATTGTGCTCCGGCCCACCTTCCACTGCCTGTGATGCAGGCAGCATCAGACTGCGGGATCCAGCTGCTGTTCATTCCATCCTCGTGCACTCACATTGCCCAACCGCTGGACATTCGAGCCTTCGCAGGTTTCAAGATGTATTTGAAAAAGGTTCATCGAGAGCTTCGCGCTGCATCCGCAGAGGGGCTGATAAGCCCGCTAGCTTGGATTTGGCATTTAACGCAGGCGCCTCGGCAGTTCTTCGCAGCTAAGAAGTGGAAGCCGTCTTTCGAGGCTGTGGGCGCTGGAGGGCCAACAGACTTGCACGTTTGCACAAAGACTTAAAGCAACTCATGGGAAACCCCACGAGTTTGCCAGCCGGCAGTAAGCCGACGCCGGCCGATCTTGCTTGCATTTGGCCGAAGCGCCGCCGCATGGCGTACGCTTGCAAGGCTCTTTTCTGACAGCAGCAAAAGCTGACGCGGGGCGCGAGTGCAGCTCTTGTGAACCGGCTTGAGAGTCACTGTGGGGGTACACGCCTTTGGAGGTCCTTTTGGCTTGGGTTCCTGACCTTGAAACCAGGCTCGGTCCAGGTGCCGTGCTGTTGCAGTCAATCTTGGGAAGCTACCTTCTTGAGACGCGCTTCGGCCCACAGGGCAGGCTTGGCTCAGAGGTGTGCGCTGCACAAAGCCTTGCGATCTGTAACGGTTGTGCGCCATGGCTGATGCAGCAGCGCCAGATCCCGCAGCACGTCGTGAGGACGGTCCGGAAGATGCGCTTGAAGGATTGAAGGCGGAGCGGAAAACGTTGAAGCAGCAGTTGAAGCAGGCGACGAAGGAGATCCGCACACAGGCACCATGGTTTTTCGAGGTTTGGGGGCCCGGCTGGTCAAACTCGAAGTGTTTGTTTGGAAGCAGGAATGTTTCAGATTTTTTGCAGCAAGTCTTGCCCGGGATCTTCTTTTGCTACCTTGATTAAAGCAAACCGGCTGCCAGGAAAAAAAGCGACGGCGCCTGATGCAAAAAGCCGGAAAGTTATCAGTGAGCGACCTCACTTGGCTGATGACCCGCAAGGTGCACCAGCAAGGGGGCGCTGTTTGAAGCATCTTGTTTCGCCACAAGGCGGACGCAGAGCTCGCTCACGCGAGAGCTTTCACTCAGAATCACGTTTGTGCGACTTTGCTTGGCTGTGTGCGCCGCAGGGCGGACGCAGGGCACGGGCTCGCTGAATGTCAGTGCTTTCACCCATGCTCACTTGTAACCTTGCTTGGCTGTGTGCGCCTAGAGGCCTTCGTGTCAGACTGCTGCAGCGGATGGACTTGGCGCGGAAAAGCCGAGCCTGCTGTGCTTACCGATCCACCACAACTGATGGATGTGGGAAGACACGACATGCATGTCGCCATTGCTGCGATTGCGTTGTGTGCTGTTTTTTTCGCAGCGTTATTACGCGGTCCATGTGAGCAGTGGATAAAACTACCGTCGGATCCTTTGTTTGGGTTTACGAATTCGCCAGGTTCTTTTGTCAGTCCCCCCGAACGATTCCTCGCGGTAGTTTTGTCCGCTGCTCACGCGGCTGCAGCCTCAGGATTTGTTTGAGGACCATGTCGCATTGGGGGGGATGGGCTTTCCGAGTCTGGCTCCTGGCAGGGCCTGAATGTTTTGATACATGGTTTGCTTTGTGCGGTCGCAATTGGGCGTCGATTGCCTGCAGTGACGGGAACTGTAGGCCTTGTTCCAAAGAAGGACGCTAGTCAGGGATGAAGATGTTTGCTGATTTTGTAGTTTGTGAACGCCGTTTGGGCGTCGATTGCGCGCAGTTTCAGCGACAGCAAGCCTTTATTCTTAGCAGGGAGCCAATGAGGGATAAGCAGTTTGTGATTCACATCGGTATTTTTGACGCACGGCCGCCGTTTGCTGGACGCCATTGGAGCTTCGATTGTTTGCAGTGTCGGCAAGTGTGATGAAGTTCCATGTTTGCAGAAACGCCCACCCAAGAGCAAGTGACATCAGGTAGCAGACCCGCAATCCGTTTTAGCCCTTCAGGAACCCTCAACATTTGAGTCATGACCCTAACCTGCACCATCCCTGACTTTTCACATCTGGACGCCCTGACTCGTGGGAGGAAGCTGCAACTTCCCTGAATGTTGACATGTTGACAATCCATGGGTCCCTTTCCGAAGGTTTGGCTCGCCCTGTGCAGGCTGCTTTCCCTAGGTTCCAGCTTCCAAATCCCATTTTTTCACATGTGGACGCCCTTTGGCGCAACTTTCCCTGTGGGTTTTGTACATTTATGGACGCCCACGTGGGCACATTACCTCATGGTTTACATATGTGGACGTTGGGCCCCGTTTGGGCTATTTCTGCAGTAACGACCCTGATTGCAAGCTTTCAAACCCCTGTTTTTTGCACGTGGACGCCGTTTGGGCGCAACTTTCCCTGGGGTTTTGTACATTTATGGACGCCCACGTGGGCACGGTACCTCATGGTTTACATATGTGGACGTTGGACCCCGTTTGGCTTTTTTCCCTTATGGCAAGCTTCCAAATCCCTGTTTTTTACATGTGGACGCCGTGTGGGCGCAACTTTCCCTGGGGATTTGTACATCTGTGCACGCCCACGTGGGCACATCACCTCATGGTTTACATATGTGGACGTTGGACCCCGTTTGGGCTTTTTCTGCAGTAGCGACCCGGATCCGTAAAAACAAGCTTCCAAATCCCTGTTTTTTTACATGTGGACGCCGTGTGGGCGCAACTTTCCCTGGGGATTTGTACATTTGTGGACGCCCGCGTGGTCACTTTACCTCATGTTTTACCATGTGGACGCTGGACCCCGTTTGGGCTTTACAATGTTATTAGGAACGGGAGGGGAGGTCGGAGCAACAGGCGGGGGAAGTGTCACAAGCGACCCGGAGGGACCTGACTCAATTTTTTTAGCATTGTACTCCCGGCATGCTCGTAGATGGTGTGGAGCTGCGTTGTTGCGTGGCTCACTGCGCTTCTTTTTTTTTGGAGAGTGCAGGGGTTGTGACTGACAAAGGATATTTGCTCAGTTCCAGGCAGCATGTTCTGTCAACTTTCCCAAAGACTGATTCGACCTTTGTTTGCACCCTTTGTTGCCATCGTCAAAGACTGATTCGTTTTTTTTTGCACCTTTGGTTGCCATCATGCATTGCCATGGCTCGAGAGACGACAAAGCGGAAGCGGCAAGCATCTGGACAGCTTCGAGGCTTGCTTGATGAGGTGGCCGTAGAGGCTCCACGTGTGCAGGGATACGAGTTTCGATCGGACGAGTTCACTGCGTTGACAGCTTCGGAGCAAGGACCTGTCCCCAGCGCAGTCGCAAAGGCTAGACGCTGCTGTCCAGCTGTATGGTGGTTCCCGGGCTCGCAAGTGTGATTTCTCCTTGGGGGCATTTTTTAGCCCTTGAGGGCTACTTCCGACAAAAGCCAGCACGTTTAGTGATTTCTACCATGCCACACCAGGTCAAGCGCCCCTGCCTGTTCGTCAAGTGCCAGCAGAGGCGAGCCAAGCGGCCAGTTCACCAGCTGCAGCGCCAGCGCCTGCGACCGCCAAGGCTTCGCTTGTGCGCGAGCGATTTCCGTGCCCTTCTGTGCCCGTTATAGACATACTTATAAGTCAAGTTAGTGTCAACCTCGGCTGTTGTATTTCCCGATTTAGGACTTGCTTTGCAGGCGCCGTTCCGTTTGCGAGCGGCTGCAGCGCTGTTGACTTATAATGCTTCCCATTTCACAGATGCAGATTTTGAGCCTTTCGTGGACTTCATCCAGACAGTCGAAAGCATTTCCCGCTGGACCGCAACTTTGGAACGGTCCGAGCATGCTCAAAACATGGACCGCTTGCATTTGCATGTCTACATTGAATTTCACAAGGCGCCCGACTGGACGTCGCTGCGTCCCTTGGCGTGGCGTCAGGTCCTCCCGAACTGTTCTCCTTGCAGAGCGCGTGGCGCCAAGTGGCGGGAGTCAGTAGACCAAGGCCATTTTTATTGCTGGGCCGCCAAAGCACCTAGGCTGCCATCACTTGTCGGGAAATCCTTGCGTAGGAGGAGGCGAACATAACTCAGGTAGACACCTCTTTTGCTCTTTTCGGGCCACTGTTGCCAGGCCTTCTTGCAAGCGCTGCCTGTTTGTGTCTGCATTCAGCTCAGGTTGGCTCACTGAGAGTCCAAACAAGCGGGCACGAGCCGTGGGTGCACTACACAGTGCGCGGTGCCTGGTTGGACTCTCTCTGGTCCTCGCAGAAATTGACACACGATATTTACCTGGAATACGCGCCGCCTGGCTGCCGAGTAAGCTTTCAGTTGAGAAGCTGCAGGGTTTGAAGTGCAGACAGCTCTTTTTCTTGCAAAGTGCTGGAAATTTCTTGACCACGCTGCCCGCAGCGCGAGGTGCAAGGTTCGCGTCGGTTTTGTCGGCCGGCTGAAGCAAGTCGAAGCAGTGCAGCTGCGCGAGCAGCAGCAAGCCTTTCAAGGGGAGAAAGCAGCCGCGGACGCGGTTCTGGAAACCTTGAAACGTCCCTTCAAGCAGCATGTGCTGGAGTTGGTCCGGGAATGGGCCAGTCAGTATTCTATGCCCTTGCTCCGTTATAAATTTCTAGTGCTGCGAGCCGGGTCCCGCTGTGGCAAGAGCACTCTTGCGAAGTCGTTGCATCAAGAGCTGGCCTGGCTCAAGCCACCTTACATACAGTCTGTGCAAGATGATGTATCGGCCGATCTTCGCGGCTTCAATCGTCGCAAACACGGATTCTTGGTCTTCGACAACATCAACAATATGTCTTTCATACTCTCCCAACGTGCCCTTTTTCAATCGAACGGCGACGTGCACACCCTTGGACAGAGCAAAACTGGAGTGTATAGCTACGATGTCTATCTTTACAGAATTCCAATTGTCTTCACCGTTGATCACACTGCTACATGGGATAGCTTGGAGCCCTGGATGGCAGAAAACATGGTCTTGATCGAGCTGAGCGAGCCTTGCTTTGTGGAGGTGTGATGTTGGACAGCTGCAAGAGGGGCGGCGGTGGATAAGTTTGCGCAGTCCATTTCTTCTTGTGCCCAGGAATGGTCTTGTGTGTAGGAGCCCTTGCACTTTCCAGCTCCCCGGCTAGCCTTCTGCGGGCCAGAAAAGTGAGCCGCGAATATGCGCAAAACCAACCCTCAATAGCACAGGCCCCCTTTGTAAGCAGGAACGAGGTTTCACTAAAGGGAAGACAGCCACCTCTTCATAGATACGTTTCACCCTCCCTCCTCGCCTTCGTCGTCCGCGTGTCCGTCGTCTTGCTCTTCGCCCGTTTAGGGATGGCTTCTCCTTCCTCCCGTTCCTTC